ATAGTTGTATAGGCTGAAGATCGCATGGTGTACCAGTCACTTGGACTAATTGTTTCCATGCATCTTTGGTTTTCTTCATTCTTCTTTGCTCTGGATCAGGAGACCTATTGTTGCATCTAGATGGCCACTTGCAAGCTTTTAAGATTCCAGTCACTACTCATCAGAGTAAGATGTGGAACAGTGTTTTTGTGTAGTATGTTATGCCAGTTGAGCTCGATGTCCCCTCTGACTATTGAAATCTGTATTTAGTTTTAATAATTTATAGTCATGAGCTTTTTTGGAAGTCTATATAGTGTTTAGGAGCTCTGGTAGCGTAGTGCCTAAGGCACTTGACTGCTAACCAGAAGGCTGGCGGTTCAAACCCACCAGCCACTCCTCAGAAGGAGGAGTGGGCAATCTACTTCCATAGTGATACTGCCTCGGAAACCCAAGGAGGGGTCACTACGAGTCGGGTCCGACTCGATGGCACATAATATAGTGTTTGGCCTCTTAGAAAGAAAACTTCTTATAACTCTTCTTTTGTTCACTTTATATAGAAATTGTCCCTTTACATTTTTCTTTATTCTACTTCTTTTGCCTACATCTGTGGCAAGAGGTGATGGAAAAGCTCAATATCTTCACCAAAACAAAGCCAGGAGCTGATTGTGGAACAGACCATCAACCGCTCACATGCAAGTTCAACTTGAAGTTGAAGATAGTTAAAACAAGTCCATGAAAGCCAAAATATGACCTTGAATATATCCCTCCTGAATTTAAAGACCATCTAAAGAATAGATTTGATGCATTGAACACCAATGACCAAAAACCAGAAGAATTTTGGGGTGATATCAAGAACATCATGAAGAAAGCAAGAGGTCATTAAAAAGATGACAAAAGAAGAAAAGACCAAAATGGATGTCAGAAGAGACTCTGAAACTTGCCCTTGAATGGAGAGTAGCTAAAGTAAATGGGAGAAATGATAAGATAAAAGAGTTGAACAGAAGATTTCAAAGAGGAGCTTGAGCAGACAAAACTAATTACTGTAATGAAATGTGCAAAGACCTGGAGTTAGAAAACCGAAAGGGAAGAACACACTTGGCATTTCTCAAGCTGAAA